CTGACTGACTCAGTCTCTCCTGTCTCGTCTCTGGACCGTGGGCTGTGGGATCAAAAGTTCCAACCTGTTAGGCATTCCTTGGTCCTGCTGAAGACAGGCCATATCCTAGAGCTGTCTGGGGGCTCCCGGCTCCCCGTCATCTCATTAGCATGCAAAAACAGGCTCCTACCACACCCCAGGATTCCCAGGGTCAGAGGGGCTGCGTGCAGGGAAACTGAGACAAAGGTTGAATCTGTGTTGATGACACAGTCGCTCTGGGTTGTGTGGGAATTCCTGGACCCACCTCCTTCCAGCACGTGGGCTGTCAGAGCCCTGGGTTGTCGCCAACACAGCAGATCTGGAAGGCACCAGGCTGTGGCCTCGTGACAGCTGAGGTGAGCTGCTTCTCCCAGGCTCCTGGGTTATTGGGGACCCTCCTTTATAATGGTGCCTGTTCCAGTCTTTTGCCCCATTTCAAAATTGGGCTGTCGAAAAGCAATGCCATTGGGCTGTCCGTCTTTTTTTGTTGGTTCGTGGGGACTGTTTTAGAGACAAGCGCTTTGATAATGTGTGTTGCAGACGTCTTCTGTCACTCCGCGGCTCGCCTTCTGGTCCATGGATGGTGTCTTCTGATGAACAGAAAGCCGAAGCTCAGTTTATAATGAGGGGTTTTGCGTCCCGGCTGCGTGTGGAGCCTCTTTCTGGGCTGATCTGTCCCCTTCGTGTTTTGCCCCCGTGTCGTACTGTTCCGCTTTATAATCACCTTTGGTAACTTGTGTTAGGAGTCTCTGATTTGGGGTTTTTATTTTTGAAGTTTATCTTGGTGGTTCTTGGCTTTTTACATTTCCATACACATGGGCTTGTTAATTAATAGGCCTTTCACAATTGGCTTATTTATTTTCAAAAGCTCAATAAGACATTTGGGTTGCATTTGGATTTACTGATCAGTAGGGGAGATTAGCGTCTTTACAATACTGAGGATTCCAATCCGTGGACCTATCTTTAGGCCTTTGATTGGGTTTTTCTCTTTTTGGTGGGGGAGTTCTAGAGGGACAGGACCTCACTCTTGCCCAGGCTGGAGTGAAGTGGCGTGATCGTGGCTCACTGCAGCCCTGACCTCCTGGACTCAAGCAATCCTCCCACCTCAGCCTCCCAAGTAGCTGGGACTACAGGTGTGCACCACCATGCCCAGCTATTTTGGTGTTTTTTTGTAGAGACAGGGTCTCCCTATGTTGCCCAAGCTGGTCTTGAACTCCTGGGCTCAAGTGACCCTTCCGCCTCAGCCTCCCAAAGTGCTGGATTACAGGTGCGAGCCACCGTGCCCAGCCTTAAATTCTTTTTTTTTTTTTTTTGAGACAGTCTCGCTCTGTCGCCCAGGCTGGAGTGCAGTGGCCGGATCTCCGCTCACTGCAAGCTCCGCCTCCCGGGTTCAGGCCATTCTCCTGCCTCAGCCTCCCGAGTAGCCGGGACTACAGGCGCCTGCCACCTCACCCGGCTAGTTTTTTGTATTTTTTTAGTAGAGACGGGGTTTCACCGTGTTAGCCAGGATGGTCTCCATCTCCTGACCTTGTGATCTGCCCGTCTCGGCCTCCCAAAGTGCTGGGATTACAGGTGCAAGCCACCGTGCCCAGCCTTAAATTCTTTCAATAATATTTTGTAGTCTTGTGTGTAGCAGTCACCCCTATTTTTTGTTCAGATGATTCCCTGGTATTTCAATGTTTATGCTATTTTAAACAGTATTACTTTTACAATTTTTTTTTTTTTTTTTTTTTATAGCAATGTGTAAAGAAGTGTGATTAACTCGTTTGTCTTGGTCTCTCCTGGTCCCCTCTCTCTGCACCGCCGTTTCGTCAGTGACCGGCTGTTTGTTTCTACCTTTCCTTCAGCTGTTGCCTTGTTACCCTGGCACTGTTGATCCTTCCAAAACAGTGTGGGACAGAAGTGGTGACAGCCACATCCTCTTGTGCCTGATTTCAGGGAAAAGCTTTAAGAATTCCACCATTAAGGGTGCTGTTTGTGAAAATACTGTTTTTCCTTTGTAAATCCCCACCAACAAACTAAAGAGGTTCTATTTTATTCCCAGTTGAAAGTTGTTAATATGAATGGCGTTGAATTTTTTCAGATGCTTTTTTTCCCTTCATCTGTTGACGTGACAGAACTTTTGTCCTTTATTCTGTTCATACGATGAATTCTATGGATTGACTTTTAATGGTAGACCTATGGCATTCCTTTAGTGCGCCTTGTTTGGTCGTGATGTGTTAGCCTTTTTGTATTTTGTTTGATTGAGTTTGCTATTATTTTGTTTGTTTTTGCAACTGTATTTATGAGAGAGATTAGCCTATTATTTCCCTTTTTTTTGGAGTCTCACTCTGTCACCCAGGCTGGAGTGCAGTGGCAGGATCTCGGCTTACTGCAACCTCCGCCTCTCTGGTTCAAGCGATTCTCCTGCCTCAGCTTCCTGAGTAGCTGGGATTACAGGTGTGCGCCACCAAGCCCAATTAATTTTTGTATTTATAGTAGAGACGGGGTTTCACTCTGTTGGCCAGGCTCGTCTTGAACCCCTGACCTTAGGTGATCCGCCCGCCTTAGCCTCCCAAAGTGCTAGGATTACAGGTGTGAGCCACCATGCCTGGCCATATCTTCCTTTTGATCGATGCTTTTATCATGATGAAATGTTGCTCTTTAAGATGAAAAGTATTATTGTCATTAACATCTGATCTGTAGATCTGTATGATGTTAGTGTGACTACACCAGCTGTGTGTGTGTGTGTGTGTGTGTGTGTGTGTGTGAGATGGGAGGGAGGGAAGGGGACTTAGTGTTTATTTGCTCAATTTTTTCATCCTTTTACTTTCTTTTCTGTATATTTTGGAAATGACTCTTATAAGCAGAAGTTAGTTATTTTTAATCTAGTCTGAAAATGGCTGTGTTTTAAATGAAGGATTTAGTCCGTTTACGTTTAATGTCACACTGGTGTGTTACATCGTAGCTCTGTCATCTTGCTGTTGGTCTTTATTTGTCCTGTCTGTTCTTTTGTCACTCTTTCTTGCCTTCTTTTGGTTTAACCAAGTGTTTTTATTCCACTTTCCCCCCTTTTATTATTATAGCTTTAAGTAATACTTCTCTTAATGTTATTTTAATGGCTACCTTAGAAATTACGAGTCACATCCTTGGAACGTAGCTTAAACTACTTTTACCATTTCCTTCAAAACCTTATAACAGTTTAATTCTTTTTATTTCTTTATTATTATTATTATTATATCCTTGGAACGTAGCTTAAACTACTTTTACCATTTCCTTCAAAACCTTATAACAGTTTAATTCTTTTTATTTCTTTATTATTATTATTATTATTATTATTATTATTATTATTTTGAGATGGAGTTTCATTCTTGTTGCCCAGGCTGGAGTGCAATGGCGCGATTTTGGCTCACTGCAACCTCCACCTCCCAGGTTTAAGTGATTCTCCTGCCTCAGCCTCCTGAGTAGCTGGGATTACAGGGGCCCACCATCATGCCTAACTATTTTTTATATTTTTAGTAGAGGCAGGATTTCACCTTATCGGCCAGGTTGGTGTCAAACTCCTGGCCTGAAGTGATCTGTCTGCCTTGGCCTCCCAAAGTGCTGGGATTACAGGCGTGAGCCACTGTGTCTGGCCTAATTCTTCTTCTTTCCTTATTGTAGTTTGTGCTATTATTCTGTCAGTCTTTGTGCTGTTATTATCATGTCTGTAAATTCTATGTGTATTTCAGACCCACAAACCAAGTGTTGTCTTAGACAGTGGTCCTTCAGATTTACCCCCCGGGTTACCCTTCTAGGCACTCTAGTCTTCCTGCAAGACGGCGCTTACATGGAGACCATCTTCCTTCTGCCTGAAGTAGTCCCTTTAGTGTTTCTTTCAGCACAGACTTGTAACTATCTGCTTTTTGTTTGTGTCGGAAATGTCTTTGGCATTCTTTCTGGAGGGTGCTCTCCACTCTGTGTGGAGTTCTAGGCAGGTACGGGGTTTCCCCAAGCAGGTTTTTGCGTTGGCTTAGGGTATTTGTCGTTTCTGTGGTGAGGGCGCCTTCCAGCCTCACTGCCACCCCTGGAAGGCAGCGTCTCTCTGTTTTCTCTGACTCCTGTTAAAAATGTCTTCATCACAACAGCAGCCTTGTGAAGGAGAGAGGAATCTAGAATTTCTCCTAATTGAGGTTGGTAGAGCTTTTTGAATCAGGGATGTGATACGTTTTGTCTGTTTTGGAAAATATCAGCCCTTGCCTTTTCTTTTTCTTTTTCTTTTTTTCTTTTGAGACGGAATCTCACTCTTGTTGCCCATGCTGGAGTGCAATGGTGCGATCTTGGCTCACTACAATCTCCACCTCCCCGGTTCAAGTGATTCTCCTGCCTCAAGGCCTCCCAAGTAGCTGGGATTACAGGCACTTGCCACCATGACCGTCTAATTATTTTTTTGCATTTATAGTAGAGACAGGGTTTTGCTATGTTGGCCAAGCTGGTCTTGAACTCCTGATCATACATCCACCTTGGCCTCACAAAGTGCTGGGATTACAGGTGTGAGCCACCGTGCCCGGCCAGCCCTTGGCTTTTCAAATGTCATCCTGTTCTCTCTCCCCTGGAACTCCTACACTTCACACCTGTATGTCTAATGTGCTCTTTTTTCTGGATTTCTTCTGTCTTGGTTTTTTCTGCTTTGTGCTTCAATATAGATTTTTTTCCTACTGTTATCTCTTATTTCACCCATTCTACTCTTAAATCTACCCTTTAAATTATTAATTTCAGTCACTTCATTTTTTATTTTTAGAATTTCCATTCGATTCTTTTTTTTTGCCCAGGATGGCAATGGCACGCTCTCGGCTCACTGCAACCTCCGCCTCCCAAGTTCAAGCAATTTTCCTGCCTCAGCCTCCCAAGTAGCTGGGAGTACAGGCTCACACCACCACACCCCGCTAATTTTTATATTTTTATTACAGGGTTTTGCCACGTTGGCCAGGCTGGTCTCGAACTCCTGACCTCAGGTGATCCGGTTGCCTGAGTCTCCCACAGTGTTGGGATTACAGGCATGAGCCACTGCGCCTGGCATCCTAGTTCTCTCTTCTGGGGTGGGAATGTCTATTCTGTGTCCTTCTCACGTGCAAAATACCGTCATTACATCCCAATGGCCCCAGAACCCTTAACTCCTCCCAGTGTGGTGGCGGCAGTCTCGTCTGAACTAGGCGTGGGGGAGCCTGGAGGCCCATTCTTCCTGAGGCCAAGTTCCTCCCTGGCTGTGGGCCAGCATAACTGAACAAGGCGTGCACTTCTGGAATGCTGTGGACAGAGTGTGTGTCTCCCCAGAATCCATATGTTGAAGCCCTAACCCCCCAGCATGATGGTGTTTGGAGACAAAGCCTTTGACAGGTAGTTAGGGTCACGGCTGTAGTTAGGGTCATGGTGGTAGCGTCACCTCGGTAGTTAGGGTCATGGTGGTAGTTAGGGTCACGGCTGTAGTTAGTTAGGGCATGGTAGTAGTTGGGGTCACGGCGGTAGTTAGGGTCACGGTGGTAGTTGGGGTCACGGTGGTAGTTAGGGTCACGGTGGTAGTTAGGGTCATGGTGGTAGTTAGGGCCATGGCTGTAGTTAGGGTCATGGTGGTAGTTAGGGTCATGGTGGTAATTAGGGTCATGGTGGTAGTTAGGGTCACGATGGTAGTTAGGGTCACGATGGTAGTTAGGATCATGGTGGTAGTTAGGGCCATGGCTGTAGTTAGGGTCATGGTGGTAGTTAGGGTCACGGCAGTAATCAGTTAGGGTCATGGTGGTAGTTAGGGCCATGGCTGTAGTTCGGGTCATGGTGGTAG